TGAAGTGCGCGGACTCTAATCTGGGAGAACCGGGTTTGATTCCCCCACTCCTCCACTTGCACCTGCTGGATGGCCTTGGGCAAGCCGTAGCTCTGAAAAGAGCTGTCCTTGAAAAAGAGCAGTTTCTGTCAGAGCTCTCTCAGCCCCACCTACCTCACAGGGTGTCTGTTGTGGGGAGGGGAAGGGAAAGGAGTTTGTAAGCCGCTCTGAGACACCTTTGGGTAGTGAAGGGCGGGGTATCAATCCAATCTCCTCCTCCTAAATTAAACTGAGGCAACTGACTTCAGGAGCACTGTGCGTGTGACCTGTGACTGGCAGACTTGTACGACTTGGACTTAAAAGGGCGCTTTCACACACACTAAACACACTTTCAAGGCACTTAGTCAACTGGATTTTACTGTGTGAAATGGCAAAATCCACTTGCAAATGGTTGCTGAAGTGGATTGAAACGGTATTATTTAGCACGTGTGAAATAACCCTAATATCTCACACAAGGCTAATTACCTGACAAAAAAGTCCCCATCTGTTATGTTGGTGACGATTTCCGAGTCACTGCAAAATCTCGGGCAACCATGGCAAGCAGGAGCCCTCAGCCTCAAACTTCAAGAGCTTTATCTTTCACAGCCGGTGTTGTCCTTGCTATATTTTGTATGAAATGTCTCTGGGCTGGGCGTGGGGTGGGGGGGCTGGCATCGGTTTTGCAGACAAAGTTTAGCCGGTTTCAGGGGCTTCGGAACCCGAGCCCCCCCGCCCAACGAACAAACACACAAACAGCTTATGAGAAGGTGTGATGCTGGGACTTCTTCCTTATTCCCCCCTCCCTCAGAATCTTTTTATTTCTTCTTTGACGCCTGCAAGAGCCGTTAAGACATGTCAGTCAAATTGACAGGTGGCTGGAGTTTAAAAAAAGGAAAGAAAAGAAAGCAAAGCCAAGGGGCGAAAAAAAAAGGGGTCTAGACCAAAGAAAAATGAATTGGTGTGAAGATGCTATGGAAACAGCCGGCAGGTCAGATGAGTGTGATCAAAGATTTACTGATGCCGCATGTGGAAAGGGGGGGGGGAGAGAAAATCATTAAGAAACGCCAGAGAAAGACAGTTGATTTCAACTGGTATCACAAAATAAAAACACATTCAAAGCGGTGCTATGGGGGTCGCCCCCTCTGATACAGCCGGAGAAATAAAAGAGAAAGCCGATCATGGTTGGAACAATAGTAGAACAAAAAAGGCGGCGGAGGTGAAGGAAGAAGGTGCTTCTTATCCAGTTCAGTTATCATTAGAATGTGAGTCCCACTGTTTTTTCCCTGACTGATTGAAACCAAAGGCAGAAGTTTGCCCGGCTTAGCTAATAAGTGTTGTTGTGTTTTTTTTTTGGGGGGGGGAGGTTGAGGCGAAGGGTTGCGAGGAAAGAAGGCACAGAAAGAGAATAATGTAAGGGAGTGAGACAGGTCAGGTTTAAAACTAAATGGACAGAGAGTGAAAGGACAAATCCAGCTGGTCTCTCGCCATGAGATACAGAACCCTTGCACTCCTCCAGCAACGGTCTCCTCTCTAGCGGTCACTGTTCCCTCTAAGATGAGTTTAGTGTGAGCTAGCTCACAGTTCTTTAGCCTCTGGCTCACATATTTTTGTCTTAGCTCAGGAAGGGATGGCTCCAGAGCAAGCTAATCTATGCAGCAGCCAAATCACTCGCTCACAACTTTCATGCCAGTCGCTCACAAAGTAGAATTTTTGCTCACGAGACTCCACAGCTTAGAGGGGACATTGCTAGCGGCGCAGGGGGAATGAAGCCTGGCACTCTCGCCTCAGACTCAATGATAGCAGCACGTCCCACACCAGGAGTCCCCAACCTCTTTGAGCCTGTGGGAACCTTTGGGGTTTTGAGAGGGGGCGGTGAGCACGGCCTCCAAAATGGCTGCCACAGGAAGTGGAGCCAAACCCAAAATGGCTGCCACAGGAAGTGGAGGCAAACTCAAAATGGCTGCCACCGGAAGTGGAGTTGAAGGGACACTGCCCTCCTCACAGCTCCTGGGAAGAAGGGAAGCCTGGAGGGGGAATGGAAGACACACTGGCCGAGGAAAGCCCGGGTGTTTAGCAGTCCTCATGATCTCCCAGCCGGAAAAAGCCTTTCATTTGAATGGGGGCAGGTGATAACAAGCCTTGCCTGACAGCAACCTCACCCACTTTCTGAAAAGCTCACTGGGCATCAAAGGAACACTTGCGGGTGCCATGGTCCCCTTGGTGGGGGACAGTGCCCCACACGATTACAGCACAAATTTGTCACTGACTTTTGAGGGGAAAACTCTTTGTTTTCCCCTCAAATGGCTGTGGCCCCGCCCCCAGCGTGCCTGGTGTCTGTACATCACATCCGGGTGGCGCACGCACAGGGGTGGGGTTTCCCCCGGGCCCGATTCCGCGGGGGCGGAAATCGGGCCTCAAAAGCGGGGGGAAATCTGCCCCCCGGGGGGATTTGGGAACCCTAAGTTGCACCATTATTGCAATGCAATGGTAGGCAATCTTTTCAGAGAGTGTGTTATGATTCAGCTCCACAGAATGACAGTGCTGCACAGGGGAGGGGGCCATGGCTTAGTGGTAGAGCATCTGCATGGTATGTAGAAGGTCCCCGGTTCAATTCCCAGCATCTCCAGTTCAAAGGGCCAGGGAGGAGGTGATGTGAAAGACCCGTTCCTGACCTGGAGAGCCACTGCGAGTCTTAGACAATAGTGACCTTGATGGACCAATGGTCTGATTTGGGATAAGGCAGCTTCATGTGTTCAGGGGTTCATCCACACATGGTTGGACACTGCACTACCATTGAACTACAGGTGTCATTCACAACTGGATTCTCCTGGTATGGACAAGACAACCCACTTGCAAACGATTGCTAGAGGAAAATGATAGCACAATAGCCAACGAGGAGTGGATGCAGCCTAGGTGTGCCATGGGTCCTATTACCCCCTCCACACACAGAGCTTCTAAGGAAATTTTGCTTCTTCTAGGCAGCGAAGCAGTGCTGGAAAAGAGAGCATGGGATTGGCCTGAGCCTACCATATACCATATTCAGGTTTATGTGCCAATTTACCATAGGCCAGAAATGCTTCAAAGCTGTGCCGCCATCTCACACGGCATCTGTTCTACAGGTTAGCCACCCATGTCCTTATGCCAGTCGAATATCATGTGGGAAAACGTTCTGTTCTGTGTATAAGCACTGTTCCCCCACCCCCCGCAGATGTAGCAGTTCTGTCTTTTATGGACCACATTCTGATGTGTTATGCATGGTAACCATGTAAGGAAAGAAGGAAACTCATGCTATTGCTTTAAAAAAAACAAAAAACACCTTGCATACTTGTTGTTTTGTTTTTTCCGTCACAAAACTAATCCCACACCAGCAGGTACAAATGGCTGCCATAATGGAAAGGAAACAGGGACAGAAAGGCACACACAAAAAGGACGGATAGCCTTTTGTTCTTCTTACCTAACTCTGTTATAATCGGGATATTAACCCCCGTTGTGATGGAAGGTTGACGGAGGAGGCCGTGGACTGGGCTGTTATCTGGGGATGGCCTTTCCATTCCTGGTGGAGTAAACCCTGAGGAGGCAAAAAGGCATACATTGAAACGGTACACACTGCAAATTAGGATTTAAAAAGCATTTTAAAATATCTGAGACATATTTTAGAGCACAAATGTGGTACGTATTTTTTCCTAATTCTCAATTATAATGCCTTTGAAATTGAACCAAGCTTAACCATAAGGCAATAATAATTTATGTGGCACGTATGTACATGTTTAAGGTAAGATATAATGGACTTTGCACTTCAGTCTATGTCTAGGTATAAAAAAAATCAGTTACAAAAGGACAGATGGGAATAAACTTTCTTAGGTATTTTCCACATTCTCAATTTTTCCACATTCTCATTTTCCAGTTTGGTGTCGTGGATAAGAGCACGGACTCTAATCTGGGGGAACCAGGTTCGAATCCCCACTCCTCCACATGCAGCTGCTGGTGTGACCTTGGGTCTGTCACAAGTTCTGTCAGAGCTGTTCTCTCAAGGGCAGTTCTTGGAAAGCTCTCTCAGCCCTGCCTACCTTACAGGGTGTCTGTTGTGGGGAGGGGAAGGGATTGTAAGCCATTTTTCAGATAGTGAAGGGCAGGATATAAATCCAATCTCTTCTTCTTCTCTCACTTGTAAGTTTCTGTTTCTTCAGGTTTCTTTCTTGTTCCGTATGTGCTTTACTCCCTCTAGTGGTCGATTTGATATTACATTGGTTTATGTCCTGCATATCTCCTTGCAGATTTAAACGGCAGGTTTTTATGCCGGACATAAACTGATGAAATATTGAAACGACCACTAGGGGGAGCAAAAAAGTGCAGAATAGAAACCCCCCCTAAAGAAACAAGAACGTACAAGTAAGGGAAATGAAAATGTGGGAAAGTGCTTAGAATCAAAGGACAGAGTATATCTCAAGGAAGCTATCTTTTTTTTTTTTGTAAGAAAGAGTCAGTGTCCAAAATGTTGAAGGGTGTAAAGAGGCTTCTAAACTACTGCGGAGCAAAATCACAAACTTCTTTAGCCTTTTGTAATGGAGAAGCAACTTATCCGAGAAAAAAAATGGAACTGTGAATGTAAAACTGAATCTAGGACTGGACTGACCCACACTGAAGCATGCCATGTGAAATCAGCCCAGTGGAGACAGTAGCCCCTTTTGATGTGCATTTGTGGTTGTTGTTGTTACTACTTATTAGACTTTTATACTGCTCTCCCCACAAAGTGAGGTCAGAGCGATGTACAGCATTTAACAACAAGAAACATAAAAACAGCCCATTAATCTAAGTATGCAAATAAAATACAAAAATCTTAAAACAACATACAAAAAGCATAAAACCTATACGGTGTTGCAGTACAATTTTGACCCCCAGTGGAGGGGCCCAGTGAGAGGCAACTGATTGGCCGAACCATTGATGTCCTCAACCATATGCTTGGTGGAACATCTTTGCCATGCAGGTCCTGTGGAATTGTAACAAGTCCCGCAGGGCCCTGATGTCGTTTGGCAGAGAGTTCCGCCAAGTCAATTGAAACATGGACTGTGCCCATTCCATCAGATTACCATAAAAGGCTGATTTTGTGAAACAAATCGGACCAAGTTGCCAACCTCCAGGCAGGGCCTGGAGATTTCGGGGAGCTACAACTAATCTCTAGACAACTGAGAACAGTTCCCCTGGAGAAAACAGCTGCCTTCAGAGGGTGGGCTCTACGGTATTATACCCTGAGGTCCCTCCTCCCCAAGCCATACCGTCCACATGCTGCACCCCCATATCTCCAGGAATTTCTAAACCTGGAGTTGGTAACCTTAGACCTAACACACTTCAGGAATAATACAAGCAACAGCCTTGATTGACATGATTGAGGTTTATAAGATTATGAATGGGAAAGAGCAGGTAGAGAAAGAGGTACTTTTCTCCCTTTCTCACAATACAAGAACTCGTGGGCACTTCGTGAAATTGCTGAGCGGTCGGGTTAGAACGGATAAGAGGAAGTCCTTCTTCACCCCAAGAGTGATTAACACGTGGAATTCACTGCCACAGAAAGTGGTGGCAGCTACAAGCATGGACGGCTTCAAAAGGGAATTAGATAAGCATATGGAGCAGAGGTCCATCAGTGGCTATTAGCCTCAAGGTATAGATAGGGACTCTGGGGCAAGTGATGCTCTGTCTTCTTGGTGCTTGGGGGGGGGTCAACAGTGGGAGGGTTTCTAATGTCCTGGCCCCACTGCTGGACCTCCTGATGGCATTGGTATTTCTGGCCACTGTGTGACACAGAGTGTTGGACTGGATGGGCCTTTGGCCTGATCCAACATTGGCATCTCTTATGTTCTTACGTTCTTAACTGCCAAGCATTCTCTGGGCCTGGAATCGGCCCTGGGATTACTATTACTACATGAGTTTTTTTCACTCACAGTTCTAATGGGATTTAAAATATCTGTATTAAGAACGTACAGGATTGTCTCCCAAGGAATCATGGGTAATTCTCTCTTTTATTCCTCCTTTGCTTTTAATCTTTGGTGAGGCAAATGGCATGCATCGTAGTATGCTTGAAACTGAGCCGAGAGTGTGCCCCCCGCATTCAAGCGTTGTCTGGAGAGAAGCACCAGATGCATTTCCCCTTGCCAAAAAATAAGTTCTA